CAGCAACATTGATGCACGTACGAACATAAATAATCGCCGGAATGGGCCTACGAAAGATCCCCAAAATTGTGTAAGCCTCCTGGGTCTGAATGGCACTAACATTGGATTTGTGTCGATTAATACCGGGGAAATGGTTGGTTCGTGGCTTAAGGAATTATCTGCAGTTAAGGTTGAACTTTAATTTGTTGATATTCCATCTAATTTGTTCACTTATTTAACTGCATACAGCTGTCAGGGCCCCGGGGGCCATACACAATGTTAGACACAATTAAGCTTTAATTAGAAATATCTTGAGGGGTGCGAAGGAGCACTACAGAACGGGGACGCTGCACCAACGAACAGCCAACGAAGCAAAGCACATTGCATTTTCCACTTCAGAGCGGCAACAGTAGCAATAGTAGCAGCAGTAGCAGCAGTTGGGTTTATTTTTGTGGCTGCCATGTGGTGCTACACTATACTATATATATATATATACATCTATACTATATAGACAACGTTCTTGGCATCGTATATTTGTAGAACATTTGCACACATGTCGGGGACACACAGGGGAAGCGTGGGGGCAGAGCTTGGCATTGTTAGACATGGGATTGCAAAGTTAATTTGCAATTGAAATTGCAAATAGAGAACGTCGACCGAAATTCACTTAACACAAGCTCCTCTGCTCCCTACAGACAAGACGCAAGAGATTGTACGAGATAGATCCATATAGTATATATCTAGTGTATATATATGTGCATATATCCGCTTGTCCATCCATGTCCATGCATTGTCCTTGGGTTGCAATCAAAACCGGAAGCCAAAACTTAATTCCGGCCAAGTTTTCCCATCATTTAAGCATTTATAATCGCAAAATGTTGTGCATAAATTAGACAAAAGGCATAAACTGCCAGAGTACTCGTACAGTCACTGCTGATTGTATGCGCATAAATTGAGCCAAATTGCGCTGCCAGCTAATTATTATGCGACGTTCCAGTAGCGTCTAGTAGTTCCAGTCCCGTGCCCCCAGTCCCACACTGCCATCTGCCATGACCTCACTCAACGGGGGTGCCCAAAGGGACGACCAGCGGACGAGTGGGGCAGCTGGATTAACTCTTGATTAGGCAGTTAGCCGCTTCTGGAAGCGAACGGAGTGGCATGGCGTGGCGTGGCGTGGCTTGGCGTGAAGCGTTATAAAAGCGGTAAAAGGGGCGGATGGGGGGGGGACGGCACAAGAACTCATAAAACGTTAATTGTCAGTAAATAGAGCTGCAGCTTGACCATAAAACTCTTGCAATGAAAAACGTACTCGAAATAAAGTTTGATTTGCAATACGAATTTGGGATATGCTTTCAGCCAGCCAGCTTTAAGCCGAAAAAATATCCATGTGAGACGTACATATATTTTTATTTTTTCTATGGATAATATACATTCCCTTTTAAGCAAGTAAACCTGTTTAAAACTGAAATATTCACTGTACTGCGCGTCGTACAGAACTCGCTTTAATTTTCGTTTGTATTATAATTGCTCTCCTCCTGCCATTTGCTAACCCACCCACCCCCAAAGACCATTGCCAAATCCCCTGATAATTATAGAGCCACCCCCTCTGAGAGGGTATAATCGTTCCGTTGATTCCGCAATTGTTGGCCTTAATGACACATTCAAGAGAGCTTTTGGCATTACGCATTGGTGTTAAGCATTGCTCATAAAGCAGCTTTTATCATCGCTCTATTTGCAGCACTTGGGCAGCAATTGGGCGAGGAAGAGGAAAATAGTTTTCAGCCCAACACGAGTGCAGTTTTGCCCAGCCCAGCTGCTATATTAATTTATGATTGTATAAATTATTGCATGAACTTTTCATTGGACTTATTAAAGGACAGAGAGCGGGAGAGAGCTGACAATAATAGAATATAAGCTGCGGATAATATTCAAATTGAATGGGCCAGCCGCAATTCATGGTTGAACAACGACAATTAAGCCAAATGTGTAATTATGAAATAAATTATCGGGCTGGCCAGAGCGCAGCCAGATGGCCAGAAGCAGCTGCTGTGGGAGATTGGATTCCTGTGTATTTAGGGATTCAGAGTAGGCCCAACGATAAATGCAAATTCCCAACTCTCAGTCCCCCCCGTTATCCCAGGCCTTGAATTGCGATCCTGCTGCTATCATTTACATCAAAGCCCTATCAGTGCCTGTGCAGTGTGTGTGCCAATCATTTGAAAACCAAAACTTAAAGCAATCAAAAGCCCAAGCAAAACAAGAAACCCCCACAAAACAATGGGGCAAAATGGGGAAAAATGGGAAGCCTAAAAATACCAAAAGAATGTGCGGAAAACACTGAAGAAAACAGAACAATAAATGGGGAGGAGGAGAAAAGGATGGAATGGCATGGCATGGGATGGCATGGCATGGCATGGCATGGGATGGGATGGTGAAGAATGTTGGGGTCATATGGCAGAAAGGATTACACGTGGCCGGGACAAGAAATCCCCGCTTGAGCCACTTGGGCACGCTGTGGCGGCTCCTTCACCGGAACTGCCTGTCCAAACGAAAGACAAAAGCAGAATCAGCCGAGAAAATGGCGACTAGGGAACCGCAAAAGCGATAGCCAGAGAGCAACAAAAAAAATGGCGAAGAAACACGCATGATATTTGGCCTAATCACAGCTGAAGCGGACAGTTCTGGATTTGATTTGTAAAGGGATTTCCGAAACTGAAAACTGCTACACAGATCTGAGACGAGGTGCTCTTTAAAGATATTTTCTCCAGCTTCCAATAGATTTAAATGTGCTTCTACAATTTAATAGGCGATAGTTGAAGAGGCAGAGAGAGACAGGGACAAGCAACAAAATATAATTTCGTTGTGTGGGAGGAACATTTTATTGCCCTGAGACAGCTGTTGCATTTTATCTGATTGGCAAAGTGCCAGTCACGCGTAAATGTGGAATAATGAGACAAAGTGTAGTCGGATTCATTTGAGATTGAGATTGATTAAGTGTAGCTTAAGCATGTGGCCATTTAATTCAATAACCGAACAATTTAAAGAGAATTTATTGCAAAATTTAGAAGTGGAATTTTACAACCATCAAAGCTGTCATTCCATCTAAATAAAACCCCCAGAAATCACCGCATCAAATGTTCCCCCTTGGTTATACCAGTTCTCAGAACACACCCCAAGACTCCCAGAACTACGAACGAACAAGAAAAAAAACCTGTGGAAATGAAGCTTAACCGAATGGTTTCACCGCCGCCCCCCCAAACAAAACGAAAAACCCAACCCCAGTAAAACGTATGAAGCAAATTCCGAGGAGCAAATCTGTGCTCCCATTTGGGAGCAGCACAATTTCCGGTAACAAGAAAAAGCCAACGGTTAACTCGGCAGGAAAAAAAATAACGTGAGAAATGGCTGTACAACATTCCGCTTGCCATTCCCTCGTATGACGATGATGATGATGATGATCTCTAGTGCCGCTGCTCGTTACGCAATCAAAATGCAATTAGCAAAGAGAGTTAATTAATTGCATTTTTACAACACGCACACACATGTCAGCTCGTGGGGTGGAGGAGTGTGGAGTGTCTAGTGGGGAGGGAAGCTTCCCCTGCACACACACAGACACTCTACCAGCTAGATGAAGTTTTGCACGTGTATACTTTAGTGGAACACGTGTAAAATCAACATGTTGCGCCTTGGAATATGTAAATATATACCGTTACCTACACACACACACATACACACTCATAGACTAGGATACCCCTTTCCCACACCCCCACTTCGCTCTACTAGTTGAGGAGACGACTGCCTGCAGCGGAGAGTGCTGCCCACACACCTTAGTCTCCCATGTACACTCGCTCTAACATTTATCCGCACACCCGCTCAAGGGCAAAGTTTGCTCAGCAATAACTTTCTGTGTACTGTGACAAAGTGCGACATGCCGAAATATAGTTCAACAGCTTGATTGCCTGCTAAATTCTGAAATTATAAATGTGGAATCCATATATTGGACACATGTACCTTGGAAACTTATTCGTACAATGTGTGTACTTTGAACTTCTGCAAGCTGAGGGAATTCACGAATATTTGTGGGGGATATTTGTTTAATAGCCGAAGACCCCATAAAAGATTTCAGCCATCCAGCTCTGCTGTTGAGAGTGTGCGAATAAATGTAGGACTCAGTGTACAAAAAAAAAATACACATACACGAATATGTACAAATATTTCTTCAACAAGTTTGCAGTGTGTCTGATTTTTGAATTTCTCGACTTTGGGGCCCCTCTGCTCCCTGCCCCCTGCCTGCCTGCCGCACGAAATTCAGGAAAATGTAACAAAACAAACAGTTAAACAAACGCACACACCAATAGACACGACACACATACAGCCACCCACTTAGCGTGCTGTCTTTCTTTATACGCTCCTCTCTCTCTCTCTCTCTGAGTAGCATGGAAAAAAACTTCTACTCCAACTGTGCGTACTCCCCCCGTACTCCATGCACCTAAGTGCTCGCTCTGTGCCCGGCTCTGCCGCGTGCTTCTCCTTTTTTTTGTTTTTTTTTGTTCTTCAATTTGTTTGTAAAAATAAAACTGTTATTCGAGAAAGCGCTCTCTCCGAGCAGCATGTGCTCTCAGTAAAAGCCAAGCGAGCCTTTTTGCCATATCTTTTACACTGCAAGAAAATATGCAGGGCATAAAGAGGAGCCGAAACAGTGGGCGGAAAGGGTGCTGCAAGGGGAACTATGTTATTCTGCAGCAAAAGATTCGTATTAGTTTATCCAAACTCGTTTAAAAAATATTTAAGTTTCATTCTAAAATTTTGTATTTTATTATATATTAATTATTATTTATTAGTTTATCCAATGCTAAATCCCATTTTGGATTAATGTTTTTTTCCACACGTGACTTTCATGCATTGCTTGTTATATTCCAGACCACTGTGCGCCCCAGCTGGCTTTTGCTTCTGCCTTAACGTATACGCAACGTGTGCAGAGAGCACAACAACAGTTAAAACGAAAGAGAGAGAGAGTACCCGAGAGAGCGAGAGCCATTGCGCTCTCATTGCCGCAGTATTGTTGCTGTGTTTCTGCTCTGCCCGAGTCTGGCGGTGCGGCGCGACGCGGCCTGGCCTGGCCTGCCTGGCCACATGTATTTTCCAGGGGTATTTCATCTGTGTGCCAATCTCGGGCCCCATTCAGTTTCATCTGAGACTTTTGGCGCAGCGGTCGATACTGAGGGAGAGAGAGAAGAGAGAGCTCCGTTGAACAGGGCCCCAAGAATACGAGAAACTCAAGCAAAAGCCCGTGGAGAAACACCAAATCAAATCGAAATTGAATATTTTTGTGGACAAAAAAATAACTAAAAAACAATACCAGTGATAGATAAAGTGGAACTCGAGTGTGCTGCTTAGTGTTGTGCTCCTGCTGCTGCTGCCAGAAAGAAAAGGAACTTGAGTGGAGTGTTAAGCGCTGCTGACGAGGCACTGAACTCTGCATTTTGCCGTCGCTAATTGTACATACTGTCCTGCAGTGCCGCTGACAGGCGACCATCCAGAAATCTGCCCGGAAGGAGAGAGGCGCTTCTTCATTCCGCACATTCTAATCCCGGGGAAATTGTTGGCCTGCCAAGCCTCAAGCTGGGCGATTACCGCAAAATGACACGTGTCAGGCGCATTGTGGTGAGTGAAACATCTGCCCCCCATCCAACGCACAGAATACAGTCATCCTTCCTGCCTTTAAAATTGAACACTTTAAACGAAACCAAACGAAACCAAACGAAACACCACCCCAGAAAATTCCCTGCACACAAAAAGCAAACATACTTCACCAAATTTTTGCGGGAGGGATACTCTTCGCTGGCATGCCTGTCCTTTTGCCTGTCCTGACTCTCCACCAAATTGAATTTCGCATTTTAACGCGTTTGCATGCCAACTCTGTATCCTCCAAGAACATCCGCTAGCCTCTAACTCCTAACCCCTAACCCCTAACCTCCTTGATCCTGCTGTCTCTTCTCCTCATCTGCCCCGTCAGTGAGTAATTTTACTGCTAATTTTATATTTATTTTCATTTTCCATCGAATTTTGCGCTCTTTGAACTTTTCCCAACATTCATCGATGGCGACGCTGCCTGTCGACGGGACTCTGCAGCTAATACCCTTTTGCCGCAGGATATTAAGCGAGAGCTTTTTGACCTTGTCGCCAGCGAGTGGGGAGGAACAGTTTCTGATCCTAATTTCTGGGAATATTTAATGTAATTATTGGAAAGGATATAGATTGTGGGTTGTATCGCAGATCAGCTGCAATAACTCAGCTTAATTCAATTGTTTTTTGTGGGTGGTAGAGAGAAGATGCCTCAGATACCCCCAAAGTAAAGCCCTCCTGCCATCGATAGCCAATATGCTCAATCGACTGGCAAATACTTAGGGTATCTGGTCACCTTCTGTGTGGCTTGGCACGAATTTTTATTTTACGATTATTGCCTCCTGCGAAATGCGAACCAACAGCAGCAGCAGCAACAACAACATGCACGTGATGTACAGAGTCCTGTGTGTGTTTGTGTGCGTGTGTGCATGGGGGTTTCCCTTTTACGCGCTTACTGGCCCAAATTCTTAAGGTTAAATTTGAGCACAGAAACCGACACAGACACAGTGCCACAGCAACAGACACAGACCTTATCACAGACCATCTACTGCCATCGTGAAAAGCCAAGTTTGCTGCCAAAAACAGACAGCGGAAAACCAAAGAATGTAAGAAATCTCGCATTAATTTCCAAACAGTCTTTATCTAAGCCTTGAATTTGACCAACTTTTTGGCTTGGCCAGCATATCCCCGAAAACCAAAAAAAATAAAAAAACCAGCAAAAAGAACAAAAAGAACGAAACTAAAATGAAGAGAAATCAACCAGAAAGCGCGGAGCAAGCAGTGAAAAATGAAATGCAAATGCAGTTGCTGGAATTTCCGCGGAATTTTTCCCTTTTTTTCCAGTCTGAATTTTTTAGCTCTTAGGCTTATTTTGGGCCAACGGGAGGTAGCGGCTGCAACAAGGCGCAAAGGTATGAAAAGCCTGGCGAACAAAAAGCGACGGAAAATGCCGGAAAAAATGGCAGAAACAAACAAAGGAAAAACTGAAAAGGGAAAAATGTCAAAACAAGCTACTAAAGCGATTGGCGTGACGGAACGGAACGGAACGCAACGAAACGGTGAAGAAGCGGGGCCAGGAAATAGGGGAAAGGGAATTTCGGGGCCAATATCAAGCATACGCCAGGTTGGACACCAATTTGGGCATGGAAAATGCGTTCATGCTGAAGTTGATTGAACCCCGGTAGGGAAATGAGAGGGAAAAGGCAGGGAAAAGGGGAAATGAAATTCCATAAAAACTCGAAAATTTATAGTTGAAAAGTTAGTCTGCCGTGGGAGGAACCCCATCTGTTAGCCAGGCTAATATCTCAGCAGAAACTTATCTTGCACACTGTTCGGCGTACAACTTAATTTGGGCAACTTGTCGCTAGAAGTTCAGCCATTAAAGATCATCAATCTGCCCCTCATTATTCAAAATGCCACCCCACCACTACTTCCCTGCCAGCCCACTCTTTGGGGGCACATTAACCTGTTGTCAGGCATTCGCATTTCAAAGATTCCTTTTGGTCTAACACACACACAGAGAGAGAGAGAGAGAGCGAGTGAGAGTTCCCCCCCATCTTCATTTACATCCTGCAGATACAGCAGCGCACACACACAAATCAAATGTAACAGGCCCTTGGAAAGTGTCCTTCTTTTTGCTTGTGCTCCTCCCAAGGGGGCGTGGCCTTTAGCCATAGCGCGTCACGTTTATCACAACAGGGGCAATAAATTTTATTCGCCTTGTTCCTGGGTTGCGCCACCAACAGCAACAGCAACAGCAACATTTTATGGTCTCTTCATTTTCGACAGCTGCAAACATTTGGATTCGAATACTTTTGCATACTCGATGGAGCTGCTCCTCTCCAGTCAATGCACATTATTATCCGGAAAACCCCAAGACATTGTCGAGGGCGGGAAGTAGGGCGGTACAGCGCAGAGAGAACAAACATTTTATTTAGGCATTTTGATTGATGGCCATAGGCTTGACATTCCTTCCATGACAGCGCCAGAGCCAGTGTCAGCCAGCCAGCCAGCCATCCATCCATCCATCCACTCGAAGAAGAGAGCCTTCGTGTTTGTTCGGCGTTTTAATTAAAGTGAGTGAGAAAGGGGGTAAGGAAAATGTACAGCGGGATAGGGCATATGGGGATAAGTGTTGGGGCAACGAAAATGTCCGGGGAGGTAGGAAAACTATGCTGGGGAAACAACTTTTAGCCAAGGCCACAGGCATCACCCACAGAAAATATTATGGTTTTTGCGGATGGATGGCTGTGGATGGATGGGTGTGAAGCGTTTGCCCTCAGGTCTGATTAAGGAGCTTAGTTCTCACACAATCATTAGGAAAATGTTTGTGTCTGGGCCAGACTGCAGATGATGGCAGTGCAGCTGCTTGATGATGGATGAATGAATGATTTTTTGTTTTCTGTGGTTTTATTTACAGGAATTCAGCACAAAAAAATCAACCCATAAAAAACTTCGAAACTCTGTCCTTTCCATTCACAAATCTCGGCAATTACTGAACCATTTTGAATACCCAATTTGCGGGGGCAATCATGCCGCATTACGTATACGCACTGTCATACCGCAGCACTGAATTTTAATAGCCTAGATTATGTACCAAAAAAAACTGAATGAAAAAAGGAATCTACATTGCTGTTTTTTTCGCTCTCTCTCTCTCTCTGCGTAAGCATATTAAAGTTATGGTCGCCCAATGTCCGGTTATGGCACGGACCAAACGGACCATTAGGCAGGTGCGATGGAGGATGCGCGAATTTTCCTTATTTTTTTTTGTGTGTGTGTGTGTGTGTTTGGCTGGCTGCTGCTGTTGATGCCTCGGCTGTCGCTATAAAATTGAAGTGCCAAAGCCAGCGGGGTGTCAACACCGCAATACAGCAACAGCGACAACACTCACAACAGGAACAACAACAACAACAACAATAGCTGTTTCCAAAAGCAACACAAAAGGCTGTCAAAGGCGGAGGAGCCCGCTTGCTGGCAAACCAAATTGCTTTTTGCTGTGCAAACTGCTGGCCAACACACACCAAAAGGGGGGCGCTGGCAGGCCCCGTAGCCGTGGCAGTGGCACATCCAAACACAGGCAACTGTCAACGGGAGTCAGGCAGCAGCAGCAGCAGCAGGTGGCAGATTAGAGATGCCTTCGAGTGTCGTGATCGTGAAAGAGAAACTATCTTTAAAGGGAACTATGAATTGGTATAATGGTTTTCTAAATGGTTTCCACAGCAATTTCAATAGGTTTTTGCTAGCATTTATTGCATCTGAAATTCATTCTATAATCCCTATTTTAACTGATGATTAACTAGGAAACTTTCCTTCCTTTTTTTTGGGTATCATGGTGAATTTCCTCTCGAATTTCGACTTACTGTCTTGACCTATCACGTGGCCAACTCCAGGGCATAATTAGGTAAACGAAAACTCGCGGAAACCTCTGGCAAAAATAATAAAAAGATATCTATAGCATCTGTCCGGGTTCTATATATAAATTACATTTTTGTGCACGCGCACATTTTGGTGTTTGCATTTGGGCCTTTTAATTAAGCTAAACAAACGCCAGCCGCCACCGAAAAAAAAAAAACAATTAGATACACATCCTGGTAGATCCTGCGGAACATTCACACTCTTGCAGATGAATAATTTTGCAGGGCAGGACCCAAGTCAGGATTCAGAGGCTGCCGCCTGCCGCTTCACACTTCATTTCATTTCAATTTTAAGTTCTGTGTGTGGCGCAGGCTTCGTTTTTTTTTTTTATTTTTCCTGCTTTGAGGGCTGGGGCTGCCAATTATGCCAGCAAGTTGCTTTATTATAACCATAGCCGTAACCGTGCCCGTGCCCGTGCCCGTGCCAAGAGGTACCTTCTCCGGAATGGCAGCCATTTCTTCACTCAATTCCACGTAATTGTGCTCGTCGACGACGCGTCGTCTTGGTGTTGCTTTATTAAACCTTAGCAGCGCAATCACCCAAATGAGCGCACTCTCACACATACATCTAAATATATACATATATATACAGACACACACCCTTAGAACGTTATAGCCAGAGATATATCTCCTACCACGGCGACGGCTTGTACGAGGGCACGTGCAACATTTGTATTTAAATTTGAATGCTGTGCCTCCTCTGCTGAAGAACTGCTTCATACGCCCTGCATACACAGAAACTGAGACAGAGAGAGAGAGAGGCAGACACGTATCCTCCATGCACAGACACCTCACACAAAGCTACACCTCACAGATACCCTGGCAGGACTCTGGCACAGATACATTCATGTGGGACAGTACCATGGGGAGACACCACCATCACATTAGACCAGCTCTCAGAGCGCAGAGCATAGCAGCAGAACATCTCAGAAGACGCAACAATTTTGAGCTTGAGACGGTAACTGGAACAAGGTTTGCCACTAAAGTTGTGCGCAAATAGAGCAGGGAATATATACATATATAATCAAATATTAAATGAACAGACAAGGGAATCCTGTCAATTTCTTCACTTTATTTCCAGATGTTATTTGCCCAAAAACTTGCACACAATTCCATAGATGATTG